GATCTGTGGATCCTCCCACCCAGCCACCCAGCCACCCCTCCGTCCTCTACCACCTACCTGTCCACCGACCCACCATCCTCCCACCAGCCCTCCAGCCCTCCATCATCCACCGTCCACCATCTCTCCCTCCATCCCACCCATCCGTCCCTCCACCATCCACCCATTCATACATCCACCCACCCATCTTATGTTTTTCCAAACCGTCACAATCCCCTTAAATAGTTCAGCATGCATATCATTAACGACGAGATTTTAATAGTTCAGGAAGCACGAGCTCACTTCTGGAAACCTGGATGACCAAGTCCTGCCTCCTGGCCTCTGCCCACTCCCACCTGCAGCTCCAGGCTGCGGGCTCCCAGGCCAACAGCTGCAAGGCTGACCTCTTCCCCGGCCTGGATGCTGAAGGCCCCTCTGTGGAGGAGGGTCGGGGACAGAGTGGAGCTGGGGTGTCCAGGTCCTCTCCTGTCACAGTCCTCCAGGGAGCCTGCGTGCGCCCCTGGCTGGGGAGTCACCGTGGGCTCTGTCCCCAGGGCCAAGCTCGGCACCTGGGGCCGGCTGCTCCCAGAGGTGGCCAGCTCCCCGTCACTGGAAGTGGCCAAGCAAAGACTGAGACAGGCCGCAGTGGGGACAGGAAGGCGTACAGAAAGGGGTCAGAGTCAGAGCAGGGCCTGAGTGACATCAGGTCTCTCCACGTGCGCCTTGACGTCTGGGCTGCAACCCGGGGCTGTCCTGTGCTCTGTGGGACGTTTTGCAGTGCTCCTGGTCTCGACCGCTAGGTCTCGAAAGCACGTCCACTCCCCGCAACCAAAATGACAACCCAAAGTAGCAGCCGTCATTACCAAGTGTCCCCTGGGAAGGCCGCCCTGGCTGGACATCTAAGGTAGGGACATTTAGGGTCCCTTCCTCCCCCCTGCCCCGTAGGACTGCATCCGTCCTGTTGCTGTGGAAACGGGTGATTCTCTTGGCCTCTTTCTCCTTTGCTGGCCTTGTTTTATGCACTCTCCCCACCAGCAAGCCCCAAGTGGGGAGCCCAGGGGACAGTGACACAAAAGGCCCGCCCTCTCCTCTCCTACGGGGTGGACACAGCAACATTCTGGCCTAAATCGAGGATTAAGAGAGAAGGTGCCATGAAAACCCTAGTGATTGCCGTGCACCGTCCACCCGGGCTCTCAGGACTGTGAGGGGCAGCCTGGGTGGCAGGAGGGCTCCTAGGGGAGACACGGCACTGGGGCAGGCGCACAGGTGGGTGGGGTGAGCTGCCCCTGTCAGTCACAGCGGGGAGGGCCGCAGTGTCCACTCTGTGCTTGGGTGTGGCCCTTTCTTCCCCCCGTCGGCGGAGCTCTGTCCCTGAGCACACACCCACCCCAGGACCCAGTGATCCAGACTTTGGGTTTGGCACCAGAAGATCTCAGAAAGACTGTCCCCCACATGAACAGGGAACCACACTGCACCAGTGGACCCGGGAAGGTGGCCTTTGAGCCGCCTCCTTAACAGCCCCGGGTCCTGCTGACGGGCGGAATCAGCCTCTGGGACAGGAGCCCCTGGGGGTCTCCTCTGCTGGCAAAGCCACAAACCTGCTCTTTCCTTTTTCTCAAAGCCCCGAGGGGTCGCCCAGAGACCTCAGGGCCCGATGAGTGACCAACACGGGAGTAAGAGGAAGGCAGAAGTGGGGGGTAGGACTGACCGCTGGAGATGGGGTGGGCTGCCAAGGTGGACAGAAGGTCAGCGTTCCCTGAGTCTAGGGAGGAGCAGGGGGAGAGGAAGAGGTGAAACACTCCATTTTAAAACTCAGGGGCCGTGGCCGAGCAGCTGGGCCACACCCAAGCACAGAGTGGACACTGTACACTTCCCCACTGTCCACTGCTACACTCTGTTTCTCCCCCCCCCCACAGGATTTGTTAATTGTGTATTTACCAAGAAGAGCCATTCCCCAGCCACACGGTCGTGTCTTATCGTCCGGAGCACGAGTCAGCGCAGACTCTAAGGCCCCCGTCCAGGAGCACTTCATTTGACCACGTTCACCCTGGACGCCACCAGCCTCCTCAGGTCCTCAGACTCTCCCTGGGACCCCGATTCCTACAGGGATCTGCATTCGCCTTCTTTCTTGCTCAGCCGCACAGACAGCAGCGACCCCAGCAGCCCCGAGCGCTGCGGCAGCGTGAACCCGGACCCTTGGCCGGAAGATCCCGACCTGAGGTTTCCTCCAAGCGCCAGAAGCCGTGGCAGTTTTGTCCCCCACACCCACGCCCTTCCTGGGAGACCTTCCATTTCTGTGGAAAGATGGGAGGTGAGCCGTTCTAAGGGAGAGGAGGAGGCCAGGCTTGGCCCCAAGCCCTGGGGTGTGGCCAGGCCTCCGGGGGAAGACCTCTGCCTGCTGAGGTCAAGGTTAGGCCCCAAGCTGGACAGGGCTGGGAGGGCTGGCCCCAGGGCGGAGCAGGCTGCGCCTCCTCACGCTGGTTTTCACGGGCTGCCTCTGTCTCTCCCTCAGGCCGGACCCTCTGGCCGGACCAGCACAGAGCACCTGTCAGGAGGACTGGACACAGCCTAGGGTCCCACAGTGCGGACCCCTTCAGCCTCTCGGGTAAACTCACTCTGGCCCCAGCCCCACAGCAGTTAGTGGGAACGGCCAGGACGGAGGTCACCACTGTGCCGGGCGGTCGGGCGGATGCAGGAGGGAAGCCGGTGTGACCGTGTGCTTGCACGTCTGTCCAGTCTCTCTGGGAAGATGAAAGGCTGGTCCCAGGAGGCTGGGAGCTTTCTTCCAGCCCCTTCCTGGGGCAGGATGGGAACAGGGCCCACAGGTGACGGGCCAGACTTGGGCGGTGCCCTCAGTGCAGTTTGGCATTGGGACTGGTGACATCCCAACGCGGGCAATGGTGACCTCAGCCGCCTCCTGTCCTCGTGGGCACAAGAGGCAGCTGCACTGCCAGGTTGCGAGCTCCTCCAGGCTAGGAGGAAGACCGCTTGTGGGCCTGCCAGCTGAATGGGCAGCCCTGCTGGCCACGAGGCCCTGCCCCGCTGCAGAGGAGGCCGGGAGCATCTTTCCAGTTGTGCCCTGGACCCTGCACAAAGCCAGCGCTCGCAGGGAGGAAGAGAGGCTTGGAGAGGGGCGGCCGCTCGGGTGTGCTTGGAATCTGGCTCTGCAGCCTGCAGCCTGGCCAACAGAAGCTCGTCCTCCATGCTGGGCCAGGGCCATGGCTGGAGATGACCAGCCCGCTGCCCCTGAGCTCCCGGCTCCTCCCTGTGCACAGCTGCAGACACCGCTGCTGGGAGCCCCCTGGGGGAGGATGCCGAACGACTGGCAGGAAGGAGGCCCAAGGTGGCCAGGCTGCCCTGTCCTGGCGGGAGCATGGGACATGCCAGGTGACAGGTGAGGTGGCAGATGGTGGCAAGAGGGGTGCCAGTCTGAGAAGGAATGAGGTAGTTCCTTGTCAACCAGGGTTTGTGTGCCAAGGACTCAGCCCCAGCCCAACTGGCCTGGCCCGGGCCCAGGGAGTGGGGTCAGGGGCTGCTGCAGGCCCCGTCTGCACATGAAGGACCCTGTGATGCCCCTTGGTAAGGGCGGAGCTGGGACAGGACCCGCCTGCACCTCCTGAGAGGTCCTCCCTCCAGGGGAGTAGGGACCAGCAAGTCCTTGTGGCCAGCAGCCTGCTCCCAGCCCCGCCCCAGGTGAGCAGGTGCAGGAAGTCCCTGGCTCAAGTCACAGGCAGGGGCAGGCGACACCATTCTGGACCCTGCAGAACTGTGGATTGGGTTCCCTCTGGCTCAGACCCCATTTCACACACAGTGAAACCGAAGCCCAGAGACAGGGAGTCCCTCAGCCCAGGCTGCACAGCCGTCCAGGAGCCCGCAGTCCTGGCAGAGAGCCTTGGAACCCTGAGCAGACAGCGCCCCCAAAACTGCTTTGTGCCATCCGGTGGACACCTGCCTGAAGTGTTGCTGTTCCTCTCTGCAGATGGGCCCCCCGAGGCCTTGGGGGCGGATGACCACTCTGACTCTCTGCCCTTCCAACAGCAGGCCCTGCAGCCTCAGGGTTCTCTGTAGATACAGGACAAGAAAAGGAAGTG